TGAAGATGAGATAGGCTTATATCTCCAGAAACCTACAGATTTCACCCAGAAACTATTAGGACTAACAAACAAATTCTGTGAAGTTGCAGGATACCAAACCAACATACAAAACAATCAGTGACTTTTCTATATGCCAAGAGTAAAAAATCTGAAAACAAAGCAAAACCAATCAGGAAAGTAATCCCATTTACAATAGCTACATGTAAAACAAAATACCTAGGAATAAACATAAAAGATGTGTTAACGTAAATAATAAGTATATCAAAAAGAACCCAAAGTCTCTTAAATAATTGAAAGAAGTTTATTCTGAGCTGAATATATCTAACAATGGCCTCAAGAGTTATGCCCAAGAAGCCTTGAGCAAGTGGTGTCACTGTAGTTGGGTCATAGCTGGTTTATACATTTCAGGAGTCACACATAAAGTCATAAGTCAGTCCATGGGAGGCACACCTGTGCAGGCGTTATCCTTTCCAACTCATTAACAGACCTGAGGATGTACATCTCCAAGAAGGAAAGAAGGCATGAAAAGGCATGTCCCTCCCTTCCCATGGCCAGCAACTCAACTTTATGGTATTTCTGAAGTCCCCTTGGCCAAGAGGGCATCTGTTCAGTCATGGGAGGATTAAGATTTTATTTTAGTTCATAAGTGGCAGAAATGAGTCATACTCATCAAGGTTTATTAAGCCAAGACTTTTGAGGAAGCACCAGGGAGAAATACTAACAGCACATAGGCTGTTGCTGTTTTCCTGAAGAAGTTAACCTTGCAGTGTTTAAAAAGCACACAGTAAGAAGGAACAAGGCAGGGCTGGGGTTGATGAGGCAAAGTAGTTAGATCTCTTGTGAGGCCCAGGAAACCTACGTTTTACTTAAAATCAGGGGACTGTTGGGATAAGGGGAAGGGAAGGAGAAGCATCAATGTGTAGATATCCCTGGGTAGGTGGAAAAATGGCTGATTCTGTCTTGTCTGTAGTGTCTCCAGTTCTGTACCTGTACGGATAAACTTATTGTTTATTATTGATGTGGAATCAGATTGGCTTTAGTTTTAGGAGCCAGGCTTAGGTATAATTTGCATGTCCTTGCTTATTGGAGGTCTGCAAGGAATTTCCTTAATGAAAGGTCTGTGGGGAAGGTTCTTCATAGGTGCCTGAGACATAGGGAGTGCAGAGTGGTCCTGAGACTTTGATTTTCTTTTTACAGAAATGAAAGATCTTGATACTAAGAGGAATATGGTGGCTCACACCTGTAATCCCAGCACTTGGGAGGCCAAAGAAGGCAGATTTCTTGAGCTCAGGAATTTCAGGCCAGCCTGAGCAAGAGTGTAATCCCATCTCTACTAAAAATGGAAAAACTAGCCAGGCATTGTGGCAGGTGCCTGTAGTCCCAGGAGGATCACTTGGGCCCAAGAGTTTGAAGTTGCTGTGAGCTATGAGACTACAGAACTCCACCAAAGACTGTAGAGTAAGAAGGAAGGAAGGAAGGGAGGAAGGAAGGAAGGAAGGAAGGAAGGAAGGAAGGAAGGAAGGAAGGTCAGTCTTGATGATTAAAATATAAACCGTTATTGAAAGAAATTAAAGAGGACAAGGTAAAAAAAAAAGGGTAAGGTATTCCATGCTCATGGATTGAAAGAATCAATACTGTTTAAATATCCAGTCAACCCAAAACAATCCACAGATTTCATATCATCCCCATCAAAACACCAATGATATTCTTCACAGAAATAGAAAAAATTATCCTGAAATTTATATGGAATTACAAAAGACCCAGAACAACCAAAGACATCCTGAAAAAAAAAAAAAAAACTAACAAAATAACAACAAAACTGGAGGAATCACATTACCTGGCCTAAAATGATGCTACAGAGCTGGATTAAACAAAACAACATAGTACTAGAATAAAAAACAGACACATGGATGAGTGGAACAGAACAGAGAACCCAGCAATAAATCCACACGTCTAAGTTAACTTATCTTTGACAACGGTGTCAAAAACAATGGAGAGGACAGTCTCTTCAGTAATGGGTGCTGGGCACCCAGGATACCCCATGCACAAGAATGAGCTCAAAACCTTATCTTTTGCCATATACAAAAATCAAATTGAAATGGATTAGAGACTTACATACAAGACCTGAAACTACTAAAGGAACACATTAAGTACATTTGTCTGGACAAGAATTTTTTTGAATAATACACAGCACCCCCAAAGCATAGCAACCTAAGCAAAATTGGAGAAACAAGCATAACACCTGTGGCTCAAGGAGTAGGGCACCCCTATGACGGAGGTGGCAGGTTCAAACCCAGCCCTGGCCAAAAACTACAACAACAACAACAATAGCAAAAAATGGAGAAACAAGATCTCATCAAGCTAAAATGTTTCTGCAATTAACAAGTGAAAGACAACCCACAGAATGGGAAAAATATTTGCAAACTACCCATCCAACCAGTCATTAATAAAGATCTCTAGCTACTCGATAAGAAAATAACAACCTGATGAGAATGGGCAAAATATCTAAATACACATTTTTCAAAAGAAGACAGAAATGGCTAACAGGTTTATGAAAAAAAGTTCAACATCATTAGAGAAATGCACATCAAAACTCCAATGAGATATCATCTTACTCCAGATAAAAGCTTTCATCAAATTAGCTTTTATTTGTTATTAACATAAGAAATGCTTGTATGGATGTGGAGAAAGGGAAACCTTGATACAATGTTGGTGGCACGACCACTATGGAGGTTCCTCAAAAAACGAAAAATAGAACCACCTATGACCCAGCAATCCTGCTTCTAACAATTATGTACTCATAATCATTAAAAAATTAAAAGAAATTAGTGTATCAGAAGACGTCTACTGTCCTATAGTATTTACCGCAGCACTACTCACAGTAGCCAAGATCTGGAGTCGACCTAAGTGTCCGTCAGCAGAGGAAGGAAAGGGAAGTTGTGGCACATGTGCCCAGTGTAATATGATATGGCCATAAAAAGAATGAAATCCTGCCATTGCATGGAACTGAAAAATGTAGCTTTAATCAAACAAACCAAGGGGCAAAAGACAAATCTCCCATGTTCTCACTCATAGGTGGGAGCCAAAGAGTGGAACGTTAGATCTCATGACATGGTAGAAAAATGGTTCCCAGAGGCAGGGAGAGGGGGATGATGTGGGGATGGTGAACAGGGGTAAAAACGTAGACACTTAGCATGAACATTGTTTGACAGCACAACAAAGGACTACAGCCAACATTAAGTTATGAATATACTTTAAAGTAAGTGTATAAATGTGCGGTGTTGGAATGTTCCTAACACAAAGAAATGACAACACCTGAAGTGATGGAAACCCCAATTACCCAGATTTGAAACACACTGTGCCTGCATCAAAACATCACGTGCACCCTATAAATATAGACAACTATTATGTACCCAGGATCATTAAAACATTTTAAAAAGTAAATGCAACAAATAAACAATAAAACATTTACATGTCATTCAAACCCTCACCTCATGTCCACAGCGCCCATGTGGCCAGAGAGCACATCAGCAAACACGTGGGCTTCTCCTTGGGCCAGCAGCCAGCTTCCCGTCCCAGCACCAGCAGTGTCCCACCCGTCTCCCACTTCACACCTACCCACGCACCCATTTGAGTTCCCATTTATCCTGTTTTTCTGAGAGAAGTCTGCCACTTGCCTTATTAATAGAGTAAAAAAGGCTGATACAACAGTTGACGGTTACACTGAGACTCCCATTGCTCAACCACATACCGGCCACCTCCCCAGACAGTTTCCTGACAACAGCCTCTAGTTCCTAAAGGGTTGCATGGATCTTCTTTCAGCACAGGTTGACATCATCAACCTGACTTCACAAATGCAGCAACAGAAAACCTGCCTTTCAACCCCAAGAGCATCGGCACACTCTCCCAGCATGAGATTGGCCTGGGTGGCTCCAGGGTAGAATGGAGTCAGCCGGCCAACAGAAACCCAGGCGTCTGCTCAAACGCACACCACCACATTGGAACAATACTCGTTGGAATGAACTGAATGTAGTTTAACCCCCAAAACACAAGAAAGCAAGAGCAAAGTCCCCACAAAAACAAAAAGTTAACAAAAATAGAAAAATTGTGAGACAATATTTTCTTTCTTCCATTCCCACCACTTTATCCTTTTAGTTTAAAGACAGAAGCAAGTCACAGCTTAGTTTTGTGGGAGGAAGGGGTGAAAACCATGAGCTCAGAAGGGAGCTTGCTTGAATTAGAAGCCAACCCACCACCTACTAGCTTCTGTGAGCTCAGGCAATGTGTTCAAAGTCTCCGTACCTCTGTTTCGATGGTTAATCAGCTCAATGTAAGCATTTCACATTGTATATCAAATCAGTACACTGAACCCCATAAATGCTTTTAACAATAAATAAATAATTTCCACAAATTGAAATAAAAAATAAAGAGAATAGGAATAACAAGTGTTCCTCCCTGGTGGGGTGGGCAATTGTAAAGATTAAATGAGATAATTCACGTAACAACCTCAGAACAGCCCCCCACACACACCTGGGAGAGCTCAGTGCATGTCAGCCGGTTACTACTGGGCAGGAGTAAGCCGGATGATGAACTTACAGACTTGGATTTCCATGAAATTTTCTACATTTGATGTTTACCTTGTTGAGTAACTGTCATAGTCACTGTTTATGATGTTAGTTTTATTCACATGAAATGTTTACTAAATTTTAAAACTGAAGGAACTAATCTATTTTAGAGAAGAAATTTTTCTCAGAGAGACTGGAATATTTTGAGCTGCGCCGAGCCCCCATCATTCCGGTCTCTGTGTCCTCTACTCCTGAAGGGCTGTGGTTAACGGAAAATAGGACAGGAGAGGCCTGGAGCTGCAGCTTCTGAAATGCAAGCGGGTTCTTTCATGACTAATGAACATCGAACAGCTGACGAGATTCAGATGGAAATCAGCCCACATTCATACCAAATGTCGAGTAAATACTAGAATAATAAAGAAGTAACATTTCTACCTGACCGAAGATCCAGACAGGAGCACTGCAGACGTCAGTCACACAGACACAGCCGTCCGCGGAGGAGGAGATGACCAGCAACCGGCCACGCAGCTCACACACCTCCAGGGAACTGACTCGGTCCTCATGAGGCCGGAAGCATCTCACCAGAGTCGGGGCCTGTGTGATTTTGTTCTTATTGGAATGAAGACAGTACTCCTGAGAGAGAAAATCCCAGAGTTGAATGATTACAGTGATGTGACACTTAAAAAAAAAAAGTCTGATTAAGAAATGAGGAAAAAAAGGTACCTTGGGGAACAATAATCTTTGACCTCAATGCAAAAGAAAAAGTTAATGACAGAGTTTAGAGAAATGGTATTAACATTTTCTAGACCAAGCACGGAGGCTCACATACGTAAGCCTAGCACTCTGGGAGCCTGAGGTGGGTGGATTGCCTAAGCTCAGGAGTTGAGACCAGCCTGAGCAAAGTGTGGTGGTGGTGCTTGTCTGTAGTCCCAGCTACTCGGGAGGTGAGGTGAAGGGATCACTTGAGCCCAGGAGTTTGAGGTTGCCATGAACTTTACTGATGTCACAGAACTCTAGCCTGGGTGACAGAGTGAGACTCTGAATCAAAAAAAAAAAAAAAAAAAGCAGTAGGACAGCAGTCAGAATTTTATACTGTTTTTTCACAGATACACAGATCTGAGCAAAATTATATGCACAAATCTTAGAGTATTGCCTATACCTTAGAGTAGACAATTGTACTGCATACAGTGGGATTTTCAATTATATTTGAAATTTTCAAATTCATTTAAAACGTATCTAAACCAACATGGCAAAATGTTCACCTTTGGCAAATCTGAGTTGTGAATTAATAGAGTTTTCTTGTGGCTATTATATGTAATCTTTTGTTCATTAGAAATAATCTAGAATTCTAAAAACCTATTTTAAAAAGAAAAGAAAAATTGTATTTTAAAAGAGCATTTTCTTAAAAAGGGCTTCTAATTGATTAGACTACTTAGGAGGTGGGAAAAAAGGAAGGGAGAGGGAAGATGGAAAAAACCAAAAAGGGAAGTCAGTTGTTTGTTAGAGAAGAACTTCCCCACATATGTGGTGTACAGGTAGATATTAAACAATTCTATGTTATTAGAAAAGTGAGCAGTTAATCAGTGACACATAAACCCCAGACTGACTCAGGATAGTTGTAATGTTAGATGAAAGACCAGCACTCCAGGATTTAAATTACTTTTTTACATTATCATTCTAAATAAGGTTTATTCTAATTATTTCTGTTCAAATGATGTTACAGTGCCTTGCTGACACTATGCACTCATAAATCGCATGATTGACTTGACTCTGCAGTAACAAAAGGTTTTCATTATTGAGATAAATCTTGTTTTCCTTGTTAATTATTTGAAAGAAGTGGCTGTTCAATACCTGTGAATGTCTTCTTTAAAATACTCAGATGAAACATTTCTCTCTTTGTTTAGAAAGCAGATAAAACTTG